AGATAAGAAAATTTACATTTAAACCAAAGCCAATGTAAGGTAGATTAAACATGTATGTCTATCTTTAGAACCATCAGAGGAAACCACCAATACATCTTTGACATTAGAATGCAGAAATTCAGTGCAAGGAAAACACTTCAAAATAGGAAAATGATATATATACCATAAGTAAGAAAACACTAAACACCTGTAATTTCTAATTTTAACAGGACTTTTTAGCTCTTAGAGTAATTTCCTTTTGTGACAGATTATAGAGTAATAACCATCTGATATGCTTAAGAAACCATTGAGTTAGTGCCCTCTCTCAAAGGTTAGAATTGATCAAAAGGCTTGATTTTGGCTATTAGTTCTCAACAGAATGCTTACCAGCAGAGTCAGCTATAAAAATTTTTTAAAATTGTATGTATAGGTGTCTGAGTCCACTCCAGATTTTACAATACTTGGAAGATGACCAAGTATATGCAGAACTTGTGGATAATTCTGGCATCCTTGCCAGTTATAAGATTAGAGAACTGCCAAAGTTTCTTTCAACTTGAAAACCAGAAAACAAAACTGAAAAATATAGTATGACATGGAGAAATGAGTGGAGTAAGTTCAAAGGCAGGACAGCTAAATCACTTTACCAGGTAGGTCGATAGCATGCAGTTTTTATACTATTTTCCAAAGTCATTTCACTCACTGATGCTTCCAAAATATGTAACATCTCCAACTATTTTTTTCTCTTATATAAACTAAATATTTTTCAGAATTCTACGGAGATGCATGATTTCTTTCTCCATAATACCCCTTTGGCCCTTTCTTTCGCCTTATTAACCTTAGAAACCTTTACTTCTTTTTTTGGTTGAAAGTATTTTGCTTTGACAAATTACCACTATATAAACATCCTTCCCATCATCTGTCCTATTTGCTTTGCTACATGTAATTCCCTTGAAAACCTTCCATTTTGTTGTAACTGGAAGCATTTTGTCTTTCCGTATAGCTGAATTATACTTTGTGTGACTATAGCACATATCTTAATCCAATCCTTTTATCAGTGGGTTGTTTCCATGCCTAGCTATTGATAATAATGCTACAAAATTAAACATTTAATATTACTTTCCTTAAGCTACATGCCTAGTTGAAAATAACAATACTAAATTCTGTACTGAATTTAGTACATGGGAATTTTTTATAAAAGAAAAATAATGGGTGGGTACCTTCCTCTGGATTCGGAGTATCCTAATATAGGTCTATCAATATTACCCAATATTTTCTAATGTATGGTTTGATTTTGTTCTTCCTATCAGAATATGAACTCCTTCAGGAAGAGAAACTATGACATTGATACCTTGGTGCCAATAAAGAATTTGCCATCAAGACGACATCAACATGTATTTGTTAACTGAAGTCCCTGCAAAATACAGGCTCTCACCCTTAGCCTCTAGGTACAATCTCCATAAATAACTAACACAGCAGGTAATGAACAGCTTGCTTTATATTATTTTCATAATGCTCTGCAACACTATATAGTCTTTAGAGACAAATGTATGTCATTCACAATTATTTTAATTAACTTTTTAAATTACAGCTATCCTATTTACTACAATAACAAAACTACTATTTAGAACAAGGAAACAATTACTGAGGGTGTTTTTAAGTATTTTAATTAACATTTCTGAATATCTGAAATCTTTCAATCTGGAATCTTAATTTATGAGGATGTGAAGCTAATAAATTTAATATGTGTATACAAATTTGTTGAAAAATGTGGATCTTTGAAAACAGATGAAGACAAGAAATGAATTTTTAGAATGTAAGTGCTATTTTGAAGGCATTTCAACAAGTTGCTTTTCAAGAATATCAGCTTCAGTGAAGGGCAGTGAGTGCTCTGACAACAGGTGTGGTGGCATACATCTGAGAAATTGCAAGCCTATTACCTCCAAATCATAAAATGCTGTAAATCAATGTTACCTTGATTAAGGAGTTAAAAAAAAAAAAAAAGAAAATTACTAGCTGCTTTGTCTCATTCCTTAAATGCAAACTTTCTCAAGTCTTCAAGTTCAAGAGGCTCAGTCTCTGGCAACTAAATGGTTACCTACTTTTAGCTCTAGCATTCTGATTTTTTATAATAAGGATATTTAGGAATCTCTTCCTACACTATTTTTCCTACACTTAAAGTACTGGGTATTAAGTGACTTTTCCACGAAACTTTTATAATGCCTAAGTCTGTATCCAATCCTCTAATTTCAATAAAATCCTCTAATTTCAATAAATAAATAACCCTGTGAATTTAATTTAAATTGTGGATGTGTGTTTTGACAAAACCCTGGAACTCCCTTTTATGCTTTTACTTATTTGTATTTCCAATTTTTACCAGCAGGGGGCGTGATTTACCAAAGACTAGACCATAAAGAAATTAATCTAACTTTCTAAGGTTTACACCTCTTTTCTAATTATAGCTATCCTGTCAAAACATGCAAGAAAACATAAACCAAAGTCAAAACTTACTTGTAAGCTACACTTTTCTGATATGCCAAATTAACTCCTTTCTGATCAATATATATAAATGTAAGATAAAATATACACAAGATAATGCATTTTGTAAAAGTAGATGTATTTCTAATCATTAATTTGCTATGACAATCTTCTAGTTACTGTAGTAACACTGAACAGTCCATGTGAAAAGCTCAAATTACCACTGCAACAGGGGTTATCTGCCTGTTCTATTTTGTACTTTGGATATTATAAGGAAGAATGTGTACAATGTGGCTACAACTTGGAGAAATTATAAAGTATACAGAGCTACACTGTAGCAGAAAAAAAATAATGTAGCTAGGTGACACCTGGTGTATATAATCTGTGACTTTTCATGAATACTTAAAATTAGTTAGCTACCCAAAACTAGAACATATATTTTTATAAATTACCCCTTTAATCAAACTTATGTAAGTGCAAATAGCATATTTTAACTTTCAACAGATTTTATTAAAGCAACCCTCTGTAATAACAGCACTAATTCACACCCACCAATGGTTTTCCCATAGTCAACTGTTATGTCACTAAAACATTTCAATCTTAATTTCTAATATGTGTGTGTGTGTGTGTGTATGAATATATATGGTAAACTTGGTATATATTCAGTGGGATTAAGTACATTCACCATTACATAATTATCACCATTATCCATCTCCAGCACTTTTATATCTTCCCCAAATGAAATTCTACACCCAATTAAATAATAGTCATCCATCTCCCATTCCCTACTGCCACTATTCTGAATCTGAATCTGCCCATTCAAGATAACCCTTGTAAGTGGGACCATATAATATTTGTTCTTGTGTCTCTGTCTTATTTTACTTAGCATAAAGTTTTCAAGCCCGATTCATATTGCAGATTTATCAGAATGAAGAAATATATCATGTTCTGTTTATCTTCATCTGTTGAGGGGACACTTGGGATTGTTTCTACCTTTCAGCTATAATGAACAGCAGTGTATAAATATGTGTCCGATTCCCTGGTTTTCTGTATTTTTGTTATATACCTAGATATGGGACTGCTAGGTTCTATAATTAATTTTAACTTTTTAGGGAACTGCCTGAGTGTATTTCACAGCAGCTGAATGATTTTACATTTCTACCAGCAATGCAAAAAGGGCTCCAATCTCTCTATATCTACCTGTTATTTTCCACTGTTGCTGTTTCTATAATAGAACCAAGGGGTGTTAAAAAAAAACTAGTATTTTGGTTTTGATTTGCTTTCTATGAGGACTAATAATGTTGATCACTTCTTCATGTGCTAATTCATTGTCAGAAAATCTTCAGAAAAATGTCTGTTCAAGCCCTCTGTGCATTTTTTGTACTGGGTTGTTTCATTTTGTTGAGTTAGAACTTCTATATATTTTGGGTGTTAATTCCTTATCAAATATGAGTTACAAATATTTACTCCCATTCTGTGGGCTATCTTTTCACTGTCTTAAGAGACCTCTGAAGCACCAGTTTTTAATTTTGATGAATTCCAATTTCTTTTTCTTTTCTTTTCAGTGTTTTTAGTGCTATATCCAAGAAATCACTACTAAATCCAATGTTATGAAACAAATTCTATTTTCTACTTACAGCTTTTTAAATCTAGGTAGGTCTTTAATCTATTTTGAGTTAATGTTTTTAACTGTTGTAAGGCAAAGCTGATTTTAAATTTTTCTTCTCTAACCAGTCATCTCTTGCTCATTTTTTCTATGCATTTGATATCTGTCCTTCAACCTTTATTTATTGCACCTCTTTCACAGAGTTTTAAATGTCTTATGTAGTCAAATTTTTCAACTCTTTTAAAAGGCTCATGTGTTTTGAATTTTAGTTAAAAAGGTCCTTCAAATTATAAATTCAAATATCTTTCCAATATTCTTTCATTTAGTTATTTCCCCAACTCACTATTCAAAATAATGGACTGAAATTTAATTTTAAATTTAGTGAATGCAGACTAAATTCCTTCACTATTTATGCAGTTATTCAACAAACACTGTATGTCAGATGTAAAAGACTACAGTGTTACTAATGATGACCAGTCTTCAAGTTCATTCAAATTTCACTGAAGTCTCTATATAAAATCAAAACACAAAGGGGAAGGTAATTCCAAGTGATTCACACCACTTATTAATGAATTAACACCTCTCAGCCCCACCATTAAAACTAGGGAACTAGCATGACAGTAACTATGTACATATTTAGACATGCTAATCTTCTGAGAGCCCAGTCACTGAATGGACATGTCTGCTCCTTGTGGCTACTTTCAGTTTTAAAACTGAATTACCAAGTTAGGAAAACCAATTTCAGTTTTTTTGGTGTATTAAGAGTTTCTCTCTGTAACTTTGTTGTATAGCTGTTGTATACAAATGCCATCCTAAAGGGGTATTTGCCCTTTACACCAGAAATGTTCTCTACAAAACCCAGGAGAGTCTCACCACTTCTCAAACTGTGCCTCAAGCAAACGCAGAACTCGGAGTTCACCTTAGGTTCCTTTTCCCAAAAGAAACACTAGTATTAAGCAGATCTAAATCTATTGCTGGTATCCTTTGAATAGATGTGCAACACCTAACATTCTTCTTTTTCTCCATAGACATTTTTAAAACCTTTCCCAACCTTTAACACTCTCTTTACATTACCATTCTTTTAGTTATATACCTATCCACAACAAATATTTACTGACAGCCTATTATCAATCATTAGGGATAGAGTGGTCATTACAGAAGTCAAAGACCCTGAGCTTTTCTGTATCTGAATACAACATCACACTGTCGACATCTTTAGATACAGTTCAATAACATTACTAACCCTAAACATCAACCTCTTAATATAAATTTGTTATGGAAAATTCAAACAAGGAAATCACTGTTGATGAGAAGAGTCAATAGGAAGCTTACTTTAAATAACATGAATGTTTCCAATGAGAAAAATGGATTTCAAACTAAAGAACACTTCACAAAGTTAGACCAACTACAAACAATCTAAAAATTGATTAAAATTGTTATGCAATTCCACAGTAACTGTATTTTTTTTAAAAATCATTACAAATAAAATTTTACACAAGACTTGCGGTTGGCAAACATTTTGTAGAGTTTAAACTTGGTCAACAATGATTTGTCAGGAATTTTGAAATAGTGAAATCTAAATTAATAATCACATACGGCTTTATGGACAGAACAAAGATTTTTTAAAAAGTGTTCTTTCCATGTATGAGGAACAACAACTTGCCTTATAATGTTGTTTTAAGGAATAAACTAATATGTATATAAAACACTTAGAACAAAACTTGGTACAGTTAATTTTTAATTATGTTATGTGTGTCAAGAATGCTCCTTGAAGAATTAAAGAGATTTGGAGTCCTAATCTTTACTATTAAAAAATACTGAGTTCAACAGGATAGAAAGGAGAAAAGAACCTGAAGAACATAAAGTGCTCTAAGAATTATAAATTTGCAACAAATGAGTTACAAGGAAAACAAGAGTGCAATGTTGGAGATGGAGCCAGTAAGACAAACTGCAACCAGATTGTTAAAATTTCTACTGTAATCTTATCAAACTGCTAAAATCTCACTAAGAAGCATGATCTTCTATCCTTTGGTTAATGGAAAACCACTGGGTTTCAGTAAGCAAGGAAGTGACACAATAATATGATCTATAAACTTTGTGAAAAGACACCATTAAGTGTATCGAATGGGTAGACAGAGCAAAACAACAATCAGAATTTATTTCACAAGAAATGGCCCAAGTTTCAATTAACAGCAGTGGCAATAAGAAAAATAATATAGACAAGTATGATAGAGAAGAATGCAAGATTTATTAATGGATGAGTAGATATATGTGTGAGTTAGAAATAAAGATCTGAGTGTCAATTGTGCAGGCAAAGTAATCACAAAAATGACTGCCCAAGAAAACTCAAAATGTTGAGCAAGAAATAAAGAATAAAACATAGTGAAAGGCTAAACAATAATAATATTTAAGGGACAAGAAAAGAACTAAGATACTGGAGACTAGTGGCATCCCAGTAAGCCAAAACAGGAAAAAAAGTTCAGAAATAAGATCTAAAAAGTATTAAGTGAATAGAAGGCAAAGTAAGATTAAGACTTTTTTAGAGACACAGTATTCTTAATTGATAGCATTTTAAAACAAATTTGTCTGTGATGAACTGAAAACCCTTTAGAGTATATTCTTTACAAAGTACTACATATAACATTAACAATTACTGCATCAATTCAAGATTTCGCCTCTCAAATTTTCTTTGTAAATGATTTCTACATACCAATTTTGGTACAAAAATTCTTTAGGAATTTAACAACACTTGCAACAACTTATTTAACTATGCACTATGTGATCAAAGTATGTGGTTTTATCAAGATATAAAACACTACAAAGGAAATTCAAATAACATGCACAAAAGGAGAAGAAACTAGAAGCAAAAGAAATAGAATTATATGAACCTTTTGCCAACAAATCATAAATGTCAATAGAACAAAAAGATTCATCAGGCCCATGTTGCACCTCCTAGGCCCACAGGACATTTAAAAATTCCTCAACACTTAAAACTAAGATTACAAGTCAGTCTATCCACAATAATTTGTTTATTACTCATTTTAGTTTCTTATGAAGTGTGTATGTGTATTTGGGACTGAGTAGTCTATGTTAAGATGTTTATCTCACCCTGCTTACATCATATTAATCTCCCCAAATATTTGTCTCAATTTTTCTCTTTCTTGAACAAGCTATGTAGTTACTAGCACTGAGTTGATAAAATCAAGTTGGGTTGCATAGTTTAACTCTACGCCTCAGATTTTTCTAATTCAAGACTTTAAAACAACTTGTTATGGCCCACAAGTTAGTTTTCTAATTCACAAGTTAACACCAAAATTCTGGAGAAAAAGTGACGGGACTCCTTGGTGGTCTAGGGTTTAAGCCTCAGTACTATCACCCCTATGGACCGAGTTAGATCCCCAGCTAGGGGGCTAACTCACATATGATGCAGCAGACCAATTCTGTCTCGCCCGCTGCTCCCCTTAGTGTATTTCAGCAAATCTGCCTGTTCTGCTCCCCACTCTGGTGAATCCTTTCAAAACCCGCACCTCTGGCCTACACATCCCAGCTCTTCTATGCTAAAAAACAAAATAAAAACAACAACAAAAAAAGGTCGCATGTTATGTAGAAATGACAAATTTTAAAATGTCTCTATATTAAATTTTAATTATAGAAAACTGAGACAATTTCTAAACTAAACCATCAAGACAATAGTCACAAAAGCAAAGATTATACAAATATAAAGGGGTAGTCATTTGACCTTGACATGTTAATTCAAACCATTAAAATTGCTATATGTTAAGCAGTTGACTTCAAATTGCCAAAGCCAAAAAACAGTTCTGAGGTTTCATAGTTAAAATTAAAGAAAAAACAAAATATGGCCAACTCTGCAGTAACATTCTAACAGCCTTTTAAAAGAATTTATAGTTCTTATTTCAGCTACAGGAAATAATGTAATATAATTAAAAAAAAACTCAAACTATAGTTCAACGTGCAGCATCTAGTAATAATGGCATACCTTTTCTTTCTGTTTTCTGTGCAGGGACAGAAGATGTGGGTGTAGGCAGTTTTGATAAAGTAGATGCTCCATTAGCATCAAAAGATTTCTTTGGCTGGTGATCAGACTGTAGAGTAAATGGACTAGAAGGAACAGTGCCTGGGGTAGCAGTTGGATGAACCACTGGTTTGATGGGGTGCTGTACTGGCGTAGAACTACTGTGAGTCTCTGCTCTTGGCAGTCTGTAGTCTCTGTCATTGTGTCTGCTTGTTTGAGACAAAATATTCTGTGGGAGCAAACTACTGGCATCACTGGAATGCTTGTCTTCCACTTTAGTTCACAGTTCGAAAAAAGAGATGTTGGAATGACGGAAGGGGGAAGAAAAAAGATTAAGTTAGAATCCTGTCTTTAACATCAGCTAATTTAGCAACATACTTGTACTTATATCTTTTTTATAAAACTGCAAGCCCAGTTAGTGTCTGCAGTTTGGCTACTAGAATATACAAATAATGGAGAGGAGTTTCAGCTCAACTGTAAATATTAATCTATACTCAGATTTCAAAATGAGCTCCTTATTTTGGGGTATTTTTTAGAAACACACCATCAAATAAAACATTAAAAAAAATCACTATATGGAGTTTAAACATGTTAAATAAAAAGAATAAAAATATTTTAAGAGTAGAAAAAGTAAATGGCTCTTTCTCTTAAAATATGGACAATTAAGTTCCACTAATGACTAAATTAGATCTATCTATCCACAGTGGTTCAACTGCAAAAGAATATTAGCGTGATTTTTTTGCCCTGAGTACTCAAGTAGCTAATCAGTGGGCTCTTAAAAATAGTTCGTGCCAGGGCTTAAAATGACCTTTTAGGATGGTTTAATTTATGATGAACTGTGCATTTGATAAGCAAACCAACTGATGTTTTTAAATAATGGTAATGAGAGTTCTTTATAAAATCAAGTAATAGATAATACTAGCTGAAAATAGAAATTCTACATCACAGCAGTCAGAAAAATGTACTTCCTATTACGTTACATTAAAAACAGACCTTCCAACTTAAAGCCACACAAATAATTTAAACTCAGGATTACTGAGTTTAAACTCGATGGCTAGATCCAACATACTTCTACAAGACTACAAAAGAAAAAACTTCAGCAATCCCACCAGTTTCATATTCATCGTAAAATTTCTAATCTCAATTATAATAGCCCAACAAGTAAAGAATTAACACAACCACTAACTAGGAGACATCTTAAGATTCAAGCACATGATGTGTGATGGCAATGTTTCCAAGGGCTGTCCTCCACTGAAAAGTTGTTACTTATTTTCCCAATTCATGGTTCTTCTGAGGACAGAGACGGAGAAAGCACCAAAAAGGATGCATGCTCAAACTGCAAGTCAGTTTTCAAGCAGTCAGTACAAAGTTGCATCATGTTGCACTAAGCGAAAGGTACCAGGTCCTACTACAATTTTAAGGTCAAATACAAGGCATATATAATAACTTAATAAATGAAGTTCAGTGCTATAAATCACACATGAGAATAATAAACAGAGTGAGCTATCAACAGAACAACAATATCTATTGCATGATACTAATCAGGAAACTATCATTTTTTGCATGCACATAAAATAAATTATTTTATAGTTTCCTCCCAAAAAGAGTGTTACTACAATAGAAACCTTTAAGGATAGATCTAATAAAAACACCATGCTCAATTCCTACCAATCCCCCTGATTATCTAGAATCTGTATCTCCTTGACCAAGAAAATTTCCTTTCAGCTCCTTTCACGAGTCAAAATACACCAAGTATATATATATCTGGATGAAAATTAAAGATGACATCTCTACCTCAAAAAAAAAAAAAAAAATCCAGAACAAACTATATAGCAGCATTATAGGAACTGAGAAACTTAAAGCTGCAAGCACTCCTAATTCAAGACAACACACACTTAAAAGTCGTGGTTTTGCTGCCCCCCTTCCCCTCCACACAAATATCTAGCAAATTATCTGTAGTCATTTTTGGTTGTCACAAGTGGGGAGAGGGAAAGTGTGTAACTGATATCTGATATGTAGAGGTAAGGCATGGTGGTCTAGATTCTACAAGCCAGGACAGCATCCCACAGCAAAAATCTGACCCCCTATTATTATTTTTATTGTTGAGAAAATCCAAATTATGGCTTCTCTATTCATACAACAATCACATTCTAAGGCAGATTAAAGATGACAAATCAATACCAATAATAACAAAATAGAAACTGTACTCAATTTTTTGCTACAGTGAAAAAAAAAGTCTCTCTCTCTCTCTCTCTCTCTCTCTCTCTCTCTCTCTCTCTCTCTCTCTC